TGGAGGGACGTGAGGGGACATGAAGGGACATGGGGGGGTCAGGACAGGGATGGGGGAACATGGGGGGACCTGGAGCAACACAAGGAGACATGGATGAGGATGGAGGGACATGGGAGTACATTGACAGGGATGGACACAGACAGGGACGTAAGGACATGAGAGGACGTGGGGGGTCACGTTGGTGGGTGACCGTCCCCCCGCTGCAGGTGGTGACCATCGCCGTGTACACCTTCTTCGTCACCTGCCTGATTGGGCGGCAGTTCCTGGACCCAGCCCAGGGCTACGCAGGGCACGAGTTGGACCTGGGGGTCCCCGTCTTCACCCTCCTCCAATTCTTCTTCTACGTGGGGTGGCTCAAGGTGGGTGGGAGGGCTGGGGGGGGGGGGGGAACAATTGGCGGCCCTGGGGCCACGGTGGCCCCGCCGCAGGTGGCCGAGCAGCTCATCAACCCCTTCGGCGAGGATGATGACGACTTTGAGACCAACACGCTCATTGACCGCAACTTCCAGGTATCCCCGTCCCACTCCCACAGGGCACCCGGGGCGGGGGCGGGCGGCGGGGGGAACCCAGGCATCCAGGAGGGGACCCAGGCATCCGGCGGTGGACCCAGGCATCTGGCCCGCAGGTGTCAATGCTGGCAGTGGACGAGCTGTACGGGGAGGTGCCAGCGCTGGAGCGGGACCGGTACTGGGACGCCGCCAGCCCCCGGGCACCCTACACGGCCGCAGCCGCCCCGCTGCGCCAGCCCGCCTTCCGTGGCTCTGCCTTCGATGTGGCGTGAGTGGGGACAGGACCCCCCCACCCCAGGACCCCAAACCCCCCCCAGGACCCCCTGCCTCAGATCCTACAGCCCCCCAACCCTGCTGGGAGGGGCCCTGGGGAAACCAAACAATTCCCCTGGGGTCTCCCAAAACCACAGACTGCCCTAGGGACCCCCACCAAACCCCATTGACCCCCAAACTGCCCCCCAGATGCCCTCCAGCCACCCCAAGACTTCACCAGTTTCCCCAAAACTACCCTAGAAACCCCTACCCGAAACCCAAAACTGCCCAGAGACCCCCAACTGCCTCTAGGGACCTCTACTTTCCCCCCCCAGGGACCCCAAAACAGCCCCAGGGGCCCCATGGCCCAGCCTGGGACCCCCCCAAAGAAAGTCCTGGGGGCTGGGGGTGTCCCTGACATCTTAGGAGGGTGTTGGGGGTGACCCCAGGTGCCCAGGGGGAGGTTTGGGGTGACCACCATGTCTCTGGGTGGTTTCGGGTGACCCCAGCGTCCTGCAGGCTGGCGAAGGAGGAGATGCAGTTCCAGCCGCTGGAGGACATTGGGGAGACCCTTGGGGACACCCTTGAGCCCCCTCCACGGCCACCCCCAGGCACCTTCACCCGACGCTTCTCCCTGCTCCGCCGCAAGAACAGTGCCAGCTCTGAGGGGGGGCTTGGCCCTGAGCCCCCCCCGGGGGCCCCCCCTGTGCCTGCTGCCCCAGGGGACGGGGATGGGGACAGCCTCGGGGGGGACACAGCCGTTCTCCTGGGGGATGCCCCGGGAGGGAGCAGCGGCTCCCACGACCGCTGGCTCCTGCACCCCAGTGCTAATGACATAGTTTAAGGCGGGGAACTCCAAAACACCCTCCCCAACACAGCTAAGCCTGTACAAGCCGCCCATGAATCCCTGTTGGGAATAAACCCCCAGGCCTGAATCCTGTAGCTTTATTGAAAGGATTCTGGGGGGGGGAGCAGGAACCCCTGCCCCACAGAAAAGGGGTACAAAAATAGAAGTACTAAAAGCCCCCCCAAAGAGGGGTGCAGGGCCTTGCCCCCCCCAAGAGAATGGGGGGCAAGGCTGAGCCAGTAGTATCTAAAATGGGACCAGCCCAGAGAAGGGGGGGGCCCCCCCAGGCCCCCAGTCAGCGGTTGGGGGGGCGGCCATGGGGGGGCCGGGTGCGGCGGGCAGCTGTGGCCAAGCGCTGCTGGGCTAGGAAGGACTGAACCCCCCCGGGGGGGGCCCGTGGCCCCACTCCCTCACTTGCCTGCTGCTGCAGTGCCAGGCCCTGGCAGAGGGGACACACGGGTTGAGTGTCGGACCCCCCAAACCCACAGTGCCTGGGGAGGACATAAGGACCCCCAGCACCAAGCCACTGACCGCTTCGAGTTGATGCATTTACCCCACCAAATACCCCCCCCAATTACAGCCCCCCCAAATACTTGCTCTCTCCCAGGGTATCTTCTCCCCCCCCAGAAGTATCTATAACCCCCCCCAGGGGTACCTGCTCGCCAAGAAGTACCTATGGCCTCCCCAAGAGCATCTGTACCCACTACATGGTATCTGCTGTCCATGAGAATATCTGTGCTCCCTCCCACAGCCTTTGCCCAGGGGGCATCCATGCCCCCACCCCCAGGAGCAGCTGCCCCCCCCAGACCCCTCCCATCGCTCACCATGTTGTACCAGGCGGTGACGAGCAGCTGCTCCTCCCGCTCCCGCTGTGCACGGCTCCGCTCGCAGTCACTCTGGGGGGGGCCAGGGAGGGTTGAGCCAGAACTGGGGACCCCCGGACACCCCCTCCCAGCCCCCCCTCACCTCCAGGTGCCGGATCAGGGCATCCTTCTCCTGCAGCTGGTTCCGGAGGGCACGGAGGGCGGGGGCCACCGTGGGGCCAGGGGGCTTCGGCTCCAGCGCCCGCAACACCTGGTGGGGTTGACAGCATGGGACCCCAAACCCTGACACGGAGTAGGCCCCCCAGGGTCCCGTCCCCTGCCAAAGACCCTCTGCCCTGCCAAACAGCCCTGGGGGGTCCCAGCATCCCCCCCAGATACCCCAGGGCTCCTCCCCAGCCAAGAAGAGTCCTGAGCACCCTCCCCGAGATCCTCCCAATGGGTCCCAGCCCCCCCCATGCACCCAAAAATGCTCTGAGGAAGGTCCCAGACCCCCCCAAACCCAGGGCTTCCCTAGAGCCCCAGAGCCCCCCATGCACCCAAGAGACCCTTGGGGAGAATCTTAGAGCCCCCCCCAGTATAGCTACGATATTCTTGGTGCTTCTCACAACCCCTCCAATACCCCAAAACAGCCCTGAGGGCCCCCAAGCTCCCTCAACCCCAAGACCACCAGGGTCCCTGAGCCCCCCAGTGCTCCCAGGGCAGCTCGGGGAGGGGTCCCGGCCCCGCACCGTGCGGGCCCCCCCAGCATGCCAACGGCAGCGCTGTTCCAGGACGTGCAGGGTCTCCTCCCTCCGGCGCAGGCTGCGCTGCAGCTCCTCCACGTCCTGTGACCCTGGGGGGGGCATGAAGAGCAGAGCGGGGTGGGGGTGGGGGGACACAAAAAGATCAAGCCAGGGAGGCTCCCACACCAGCTCTCTCCCCCTGGAGCCGCAGTCTGCCTGAGGGAAACTGAGGCATGGTTCAGCTCCTGCCACCTCTCTCTTCCC